TGATCTTCAAATTCATAAGTTTTTCGCCCCCGGCTCTTAATGCAGCGTTTTTCCTTCTGGAGCATCAGTGAGCATCTGAACCTTCTGTAATAGCTGCATACGAGTCTCTCAGTCGTCCTCAGTGTGAAAAGATGCATCTCAGAATCACACAGACATTGTTTGAAAAGATGCTGGAAAACCACAGAACTTGTGGAAGCTGAGGGGTTTTTCTGAAGAACAGCAGACAGTTTAACGGTTCAGGACAAACAAGGGACTCATGAACAACTATCACTAAACACAGCCGTGGATCATTCAGCTAACACAATCGGTGTTGTTAAAGAATCAAGGGGGTGTAAACTTTTGAACAGGGTCATTTTTATAAATGCAACTTATTTTCTCTTGTGGACTATATGTAAACATCTTTTATGTGAAATATCTTATTCAGGTTAGTACTAAATAAACAACATGCATTTTATATGATCCCTCTTATTTTAATAAAATTAACATTCTGCAGATTCTGAAACTTTTGACCGCAACTGCAATTAGTGTCAACAGAAATCAGTGAAATGCTTACCCCAAGAATTATTCTATTTATTGACTTTTTCCAACATGCTGGCTTAAATATGACCGTTTGCGTTTAATTTCTGCATTACAGTATTATAGCAAACTACATTATGATTTCTACAAAAGATCACAATTGGTTTATTAAAGTGTTTACTTGGTCCATTGGTGCTTGCACTCTGAATCAAACAACTTTAATTTTAATACCCTTAAAGCTCATCTTTGATCATTAAAATGACATTTAACTTTTTTTTCCTGTGGAAATGACTTCTTCATGCTTTAAAATAGCCTGAATTTAATTCTACACCCTTGCCTTACCCATTTTAAACAAATTACAAATTAGTAATTAATTATTTTTTTTGTGGTAACAACAGACCCAAGTGAACAATAGAGTGGTGGAACTATGGAGGTCACTTTGTAGGCAAAACCCGTCCCAGACGCAATGGGAGTTTGGTTAAATCCCCTAAAATAAGGTATGTTGTTCACACAGGCTCAAGATACTTTCACATTTTATTCTGCGACACAAAACACACCAGTTACACCCCACTCGTGATTATTTAAAACTGTTACGTTTCTTAAAGACGGTTGCTAGCAAGTTTCTAAATGGTTACAGGCACTGTCGGAGACATTCAACATCATTACGCCGAACAGTTGATCAATTTACAGTATTTTCCAATTGTAGTATAATTTATAGTGCAACTAATTGTAGAATAACCAATTAATAGTTTCCCACATTTTATATTGTTGTTCGACAATGTTTTTTTGCTTTTCCCCGAAATGCAACAAGTCTTCAGATGGAAGAGGATCGTTTTAGCGAAACACCACATTTACCGGCTTAGTCACGGTGAGTGAAACTTTAACGATGCATAGTGCTTAACCACGTTAAAATGAAAGGTTTACAGCCACATGAAGCTGTTAGAAAGCATATGAGGATTTCCTAGAAGCAAGGATAAAATAACATGCTGTGTAACAAAGCTCACTAAAATAAGTTTCTTACCACATCCAAACACTCGCTCACTCTGCTGTTATTTAATAGATTATATGCACTAGAATTTTATTAAATAGTACGTGGAGACACGTTTTTAATGAAAATATTCATATTAATCAAGGATTTGACTTTTAATGCACCTTATTTCGAAATATACAGAAATATGTGCTTTCATATGTCCTTTAGTTATGATTATTTCATTTATTCTCTATACTATTTATTACTAATGTCTCATTTCAGTTTGGCTCTAGTTTTGTATTTATTCCAGTTTACAAGGTAATGTTAATGTAGCATGGATTAAAACTCATATACAGAGTAAATCCTTTTCACTGAACGTGTTAAATAAGTTAGAAACAGTTGTCGGGAGCGTGTTGTGGTGACGCTGAAGGCGAGCGACCGTGGTGCTGTAGTCCGTTTATAGCCTAAGTTTAGCTTTTAAGTTCTGACGCTTTTATTTTGGCTTCAAAATAATTTATGGATTTATGGACTTTTACAAAACATTTAAAATTCATAATGTAATATATAAAGAATATATATATCGATATATACTCGAGTAAATCTGTAGTTTATCAGAGTGTTTTTCTTTGGAAAACTTGACTACATTCCAAAGCATAATGTCATACTTTTTACTGCACTACATTTCATAAATAAAATTTTTTTGTTTTTTTTACCTTTAATACTTAAAAACATTAAAAATGTATTACTTTCTTGTACTCAAGTAAATCTTTCAATTACTTTTACTTGAGTAAAAGTACTACATTTCTAATGTAATTAAGTATTAAATTATATTTAATATGAAATGTAGTGCAGTAAAAAGTACAATATTGTGCTTTGGAATGTTGAAGTTTTCTAAAGAAAAACACTCTGATAAAGTACAGACACCTGAAAAGTACTTTTACAGCAGAGTAAAAATACTTAGTATTAAATTATATTTCATATGAAACGTAGTGTAGTAAAAAGCACAATATTATGCTTTGGAATGTTGTGAAGTAAAGTTTTCTAAAGAAAAGCACTCTGATAAAGTACAGACACTCGAAAAGTATTTTTAAAAGCAGAGTAAAAATACTTCACTTCCATCCGCCTCTGAATATAACTAATGTGCATTATAGGGCTGCACGATTAATCGAATGTGATTGTCATGCACATTTAGTTAGTGAAGCCGGTTCTGTAATCAGCAGGAGATCATCATCACGTGCTTTCAGATGGAGCAGAATTTACTACACATAGCCGTAGTTCACTGACAAGTTACGCAAAAA